CCTTCTGACCCCATATCCCATATGGCACTGATCCCTTCTGACCCCATATCCCATATGGCACTGATCCCTTCCCACCCCATATCCCATATGGCACTGATCCCTTCTGACCCCATCCCCATATGGCACTGATCCCTTCTGACCCCATATCCCCGCAGGTAACCTTGCAGGCGAGCCGTGCGCGGCGCGGCGCTCGGTGGAGGACGCGTTCTTGCGGCGGTTCGTTGGCGGCACGTTTCCCGGCTGCCTGGCGGACGAGGTGGTGCTGAAGCGCCGCGCCAACGCGCTGCTGCTCTGCCTGCTGCTGCTGCGCCGGCTGCCGCCCGCCAAGCTGTGCTTCCTGCTGGGTTACAGCGAGGCGCTGCTGGCCCGGCTCTACAAGTGCCCCGTGCGCCTGCAGGTGCAGACGCTGCCCGGCCGCGTGCCCTACAAGTTCCTGTAGGGCCATAAAAGGGCGAGGAGCGCCGCCGTCGTGTGTCGTGACTGGGTGGGTGGGTGGGTGGGTGGGTGGGGGGGTTGGGGGTGTCGGGGCGCTGCCCACCCAACCTGGGGGGTTGGTGGGAGCGTGAAGCCGTCCTGCCCTGCGCCGCCGCGGCTCTATGGGCGCTGCTCCCGTTGTGCCACGGGGGGTTCAGCCCAGGGGACCTGACCCCATATGTCCTTTGGGTCCTGATCCCATGGGCACCCATCCCCACCGTTCCCATATGTCCTTTGGGTCCTGAACCCACGGGCACCCATCCCCACCATTCCCGTATGTCTCTTGGGGTCTTGATCCCATAGGGACCCATCCCCCCCTTGCCCATATGCCCTTTGGGGTCTCAATCCTAGAGGGCTCTGTTCCCATTCTGTCCTTTGGGGTCCTGATCCCATAGGGACCCATCCCCCCCTTGTCCATATGTCCTTTGGGGTCCTGATCCTATGGGCACCCATCCCCCCCTTGCCCATATGTCCTTTGGGTCCTGATCCCATGGGCACCCATCCCCACCGTTCCCATATGTCCTTTGGGTCCTGATCCCATAGGGACCCATCCCCACCATTCCCATATGTCCTTTGGGTCCTGATCCCATGGGCACCCATCCCCACTGTTCCCATATGTCCTTTGGGGTCCTGATCCTATGGGGTTCTGTTCCCATATGTCCTGTGGGGTCCTGATCCCATAGGGCCCCATCCCCACCATTCCCATATGTCCTTTGGGGTCCTGATCCTATGGTGGTCTGTTCCCATTCTGCCCTTTGGGGTCCTGATCCCGTAGGGCCCCATCCCCACCATTCCCGTATGTCTCTTGGGGTCCTGATCCCATGGGCACCCATCCCCACCATTCCCATATGTCCTGTGGGGTCCTGATCCCATAGGGACCCATCCCCCCCTATGCCCATACGCCCTTTGGGGTCTCAATCCTTGAGGGCTCTGTTCCCATTCTGCCCTTTGGGGTCCTGATCCCATAGGGACCCACCCCCACCATTCCCATATGTCCTTTGGGTCCTGATCCCATGGGCACCCATCCCCACCGTTCCCATATGTCCTTTGGGGTCCTGATCCCATAGGGACCCATCCCCACCGTTCCCATATGTCCTTTGGGGTCCTCATCCTATGGGGGTCTTTTCCCATTCTGTCCTTTGGGGTCCTGATCCCATGGGGATCCACCCCCACCGTTCCCATATGTCCTTTGGGGTCTCGATCCTATGAGGCTCTGTTCCCATTCTGCCCTTTGGGGTCCTGATCCCATAGGGACCCATCCCCCCCTTGCCCATATGCCCCATGGGGTCTTCATCCTATAGGGGGTCTGTTCCCATTCTGTCCTGTGGGGTCTTGATCCCACGGGCACCCATCCCCACCGTTCCCATATGTCCTGTGGGGTCTTGATCCCATAGGGCCCCATCCCCACCGTTCCCATATGTCCATTGGGGTCTTGACCCAATGGGGTTCCTTTCCCATTCTGTCCTTTGGGGTCCTGATCCCATAGGGCCCCATCCCCACCGTTCCCATATGCCCTATGGGGTCTCGACCTCATAGGATCCCGTCCCTCCTATTGGCTGTGTGCCCTTTGGGGTCTTGATCCCACAGACCCCCGTCCCCCCTTTTTCCCACATGCCTTTTGAGATTTGATCTCGTGCTGATCCCATTGCGTCATTTGGGGTCTTCATCTCTTAGGATCCCACCCCCACTGTGGATTTGTGCCCTTTGGGGTCTCGATCCCACGGGCACCCACCCCTGTCGTTCCCATGCACCCTGTGGGGTCTCGCTCTCATAGGGTCCCACCCCTGCAGCGGCTGTTTGCCTTTGGGGTCCCGACCCCAAGAGGGTCTGAGCCTGTTGCGCTATTTGGGGTCTTGGTCACATGGGGTTTTTTCCCCTTTGGGGTCTTCGTCCCATAGGAACCCACCCCGCCGTGGATGTGTGTCCCTGGGCTGTGATCCACAAGGCGTCCGTCCGTGTGTCCCGTGTCACCCTGTCCCCAAAGTGTCCGTGTGTCCCACGTCACCCTGTCCCCAAGGTGTCCGTGTGTCCCACGTGTCCCCATCCCACGATGTCCATCCACGTGTCCCACATGTCCCTGTCCCCATGATGCCCACGTGTCCCATGTCACCCTGTCCCCAAGGTGTCTGTGTGTCCCTGTCCCCAAGGTGTCCATCCATGTGTCCCTTGTGTCCCAAGACATCCGTGTGTCCCACACAGTTTTGTCCCCAAGCTGCCCATGTGCCCCACGTGCTCCTGTCCCCAAGTTTTCCATGTGTCCCCCGTGTCCCTGTCCCCAAGCTGTCCACCTATGGCTCCCACGTGGTTTTGTCCCCAAGATGTTGGAGTGTCCCTGTCCCCAGGACGTCCATCCGTGTGTCCCATGTGTCCCTGTCCCCAAGGCATCCATGTTTCCCACACAGCTTTGTCCCCAATGTGTCCACGTGTCCCCCGTGTCCCTGTCCCCAAGACGTCCGCCTATGGGTCCCACATGGTTTTGTCCCCAAGATGTCTGTGTGTCCCTGTCCCCACAATGTCTGTGTGTCCCATGTGTCCCTGTCCCCACGATGTCCATCCACGTGTCCCACATGTCCCTGTCCCCATGATGCCCACGTGTCCCATGTCACCCTGTCCCCAAGGTGTCTGTGTGTCCCTGTCCCCAAGGTGTCCATCCATGTGTCCCTTGTGTCCCAAGACATCCGTGTGTCCCACACAGCTTTGTCCCCAAGGTGCCCACGTGCCCCACATGCTCCTGTCCCCAAGTTTTCCATGTGTCCCCTGTGTTCCTGTCCCCAAGCTGTCCACCTATGGCTCCCATGTGGTTTTGTCCCCACGTGGTTTGAGTGTCCCTGTCCCCAAGATGTCCACCCATGTGTCCCATGTGCCACTGTCCCCAAGGTGTCCCCATGATGCCCTACGTGTCCCATGTCATCCTGTCCCCAAGGTGTCCACGTGTCCCCCGTGTCCCTGTCCCCAAGACGTCCACCTATGGATCCCACATAGTTTTGTCCCCAAGATGTCTGTGTGTCCCCCGTGTCCCTGTCCCCAAGCTGTCCATCCATGTGTCCCACGCATCCCTGTCCCCATGATGCCCACGTGTCCCATGTCACCCTGTCCCCAAGGTGTCTGCGTGTCCCTGTCCCCAGGATGTCCATCCATGTGTCCCTTGTGTCCCTGTCCCCAAGACATCTGTGTGTCCCACACAGCTTTGTCCCCAAGGTGCCCATGTGCCCCACGTGCTCCTGTCCCCAAGTTTTCCATGTGTCCCCTGTGTCCCTGTCCCCAAGCTGTCCACCTGTGGCTCCCATGTGGTTTTGTCCCCACGTGGTTTGAGTGTCCCTGTCCCCAAGCTGTCCATCCATGTGCCCTACGTGTCCCATGTCATCCTGTCCCCAAGGTGTCCATGTGTCCCGTGTCCCTGTCCCCAAGACATCCGTGTGTCCCACACAGCTTTGTCCCCAAGCTGTCTGTGTGCCCCACGTGCTCCTGTCCCCAAGTTTTCCATGTGTCCCCCGTGTCCCTGTCCCCAAGCTGTCCATCCACGTGTCCCACATGTCCCTGTCCCCATGATGCCCACGTGTCCCATGTCACCCTGTCCCCAAGGTGTCTGCGTGTCCCTGTCCCCAAGGTGTCCATCCATGTGTCCCTTGTGTCCCTGTCCCCAAGACATCCGTGTGTCCCACACAGCTTTGTCCCCAAGATGTTCGAGTGTCCCCGTCCCCAGCCCATCCCCCAGCCCCACACGGTTTGTCCCCACGTTGCCCATCACCCCACGTCACCCCGTCCTCGCGATGCCCATCCGTTGCGCCCACACCCCACAAACCCAGTCACCCCGCTGCCTCCCAGCCCACCCAAACCCCTGCGAACCCGGCGCCACCAAACCCGGCGCCACCAAAGCCAGCGCCACCAAACCCAGCGCCACCAAACGCAGCACCCATGTCTGACAAAACCACTTTAAATACAGCAGCACAGGAAGGAGCGGCGGGGCAGCGATGTCAGCACTGCGCCGCGTCCTCAAAGCCGGGGTTGGCCATCGCCGCGCCCCGCACCGTGCCAGCCTCGGTGCCCCGTGTGCCACATTTGGCGTCTTCCGTGCCAGATTTGGCATCTTCCGTGCCAGATTCGGTGTCTCCCGTGCCAGATTTGCTGCCCTCCACGCCAAACTTGGTGCCCTCCACGCCGGCTTCGGTGCCCTCCGTGCCGAGCGGTGCGGGACCTGCGGGCGCAGCGGGACGGGGTCACCCCGTGGCGGTGGGATGGGGGGCGCTGT